CTGATCACCCCATTTGGCAATCCCCGGCAGGACTGCATGCAGAATCCAATCATCATTCCATTCCCACTTCCCCTCCGTCCAGGACCCCCACAGAGTCTTCCACCATAGCCACATCTCGTCCGCGAAAGGACAGTAGATCCATACGTGCTCTGTAGATTCTGCACCGTGAGCATGTTATGCTCAGTTCCATTCCTCTTGACTGCAACCACAGTGCAGAGGGGGTAATGACCATGGATTAAGTCCACATCAAACTTGCCTGCCTCTGCGATGGAATTTTCCGCAAAAGTTTCCAAAGTCCCTGGTAGTCTGGTGGGGGGGCGCCGATCCCTTGAAACTTTTGGAATCTTTGCCCAACTATTATCTGCGGCTTCTTCCTCTGCAGACGGCGCTGAGCTACCCCAGTTTTTGTAGTATACCAAATCAGTGGATGCTGGTTCTTTCCCCGCTCCTTCCATCCATACAGTAAGGGTTCTACCAGATAGTTTGCTGGGTCTCCCTTCAATAGCGAAGCTTGTTTCCTTGTACCCTGTTGGCTTTTCCATACTCTTACTTCCCACAAGTTCATCGTGGAAGGAACCGTAGTCTCCTGTTCGAATACCAGGGGGGACGTATCAGCTCTGAGTCTGTCTACCCTCCACTGTTCTACCTTCATACCCTGATTCAGATTTGGACGAAGGACTTTAAGTACTCTATTGTTGTCCTCTGGGTGTTGTATCCATGAGCCTAAAGCATGCTTAGCATCCTCTTTGAGTAACCCATTCCGCTGAGAAGGTAAGGCTGACAGAATAGCCTGATAGTATTCCTCTACTCTGTGGAGTCTGGGGAGTCTCTTTCTCAGATCCTGCGGCTTAAGCCACGTCTGGCTATTCTCATCCCAGATATGACTAACGAGGTAAACTCCTCTCTCTATCCAAGATTTCGCAAATTGGCCGGGTCCACTACCTGTTGCAAATGGCTGACCGGACAATTGACAAATTAATGTATTATCAAACACACATTGGTTTAGGATTTCTAGCTTGGTATTAGGCTCCTTCAGTCGCTCCGGCTTAATTTTGTTCCAAGCTCTTAGAATTCCTCCCATACTCTCGACTGAATTCTACGTTTGAACAGATTAGTCTGCACAATGCAGACCCACCAGACTGTGGCGGCGTAGCCTGACCCTCAGCATCTATGTCGGGCCGCGGGGCCGCGGGGCTGTGGTCATGACCGCGCAGTTGGAGTCGAAATCAGCCCACTGCGGCCGAGGGGAGGGGGGTCCTGCCAATCAGGGTCGGGATTCTGGCAGCAGGACCCGGGCCCCACCCCCCCATTATAATGAAAAACAAGAGGATGCCCGACTGCGGCGGGGACTAACAGCAGGGGAACCAAAAAAAAAAAAAAAAAAAAGGTACGCCCACGGCATGCAGCGCGGCCCCGCGGAAATCAACTCTCTGAGTATGGTCACCACGGCCACGCCCACGGCAGACCTACTCTTCGCCCACTGCTCCCTCTGCGGTGCCTCCCTGCTGCTCCCCCCCCCTCCCTCCCCCTCTTCTCATCCCGTTCCTCCTCCTCCCGTTGGTCCCTCTCTTGCTCCTCGCGTTG